TATCTGCATGGCCAAAGCGTACGTGCTGAGCGCACGCTCACTGTGCACAAAGTACAAAGATTGAACAGTCAAAACACAGCCCTCGGTCCAGGGTAAAGATCGGTAGCTGGCAGGACCAGCTTCCAATCATGTGAACCTTGTGATGATCGCTGTTGCTTCCTGAACTCAGGGCGTTCAGAGCTATTTAGTGGGACACTGCGGTGGGTAGAAAGGTGTTAAGAGAACAATAGGATGACATTACCAACCTCCTGAAAATACTTGCTACCTAGCTGCCATGCAATTCATCTGACTTCAATGCTAGTATATAGTCTGTATTGTTCTTCAGGGTCAGTGACTCGAAGTACCCAACAGCCAAGCTACTAGTATTTTAGAAGTAGCGCTCAGCAGTGGCAGACCATTTCTTTACACTCACTGATAAAGTCAGTATAAGTTTGAGTCAGTACAGACAGTCTCTAAGTTACAAACACTCGACTTGAGTACAACTCCTACTTAAGAACGAAGGCTCCCTGCTGTCTGCATTTCCCCTCATGGCACTGTACTAGTCCTACTCCCAGCAGAGACCCGGTTTCGCTGGCGCCACCGTTGGCAACCACTGCCCACTGTAAAATTATTAGTTGCTGGGACATCCGGTTGGAGTCTAGCAACCAGAGAGGCCCCAGCATTCAGAGAACAGGAGGATGCAACTTCCTCCTCCAAGTGCTCAGCTCCTCTCACCACCTCCAGCCCCCTGCTCACAAAGGGAACTGGACTTGAGTTTGAGGTAAGGGTGAGAGAACCTGTTGGACAGTCATGAGGGAGACGGGCAGAGATGAAGGGACAGAGATGGTTGGTGCTGGAGAACAGATGACACCTTTGGAGGGATTGAAAGGGAGGAGGAGGAAGTCACATTCTTAGATCTCAGGGGTTCATGCTGGGACCCCTCAGAGCTGAGGACGTGACCCCCCCCCCCCCCCCCAAAAAAAAAAGTGACAGACTACAAGTCCCAGCACGAACCCTGCAGAGCCAAGGATGTGATCTTTTCCTTTCTCCCCCTCTCTCTCTCATCCCCCATCACTGATCCCTCTGTGTCTCATTCCCCCACCCATACACACTCACTATCTCCTTTCTTTTGCTCCTCCTTTCTCCCCACTCTCTCTCACCTTATGCTCCTTCCCCCTTTCTGTCCCCTCTTTGCCTTACAAAATCCAATTAGCACAGGAACAGAAAGTGAGGCAAAATCTTCTGAACTGGGCAGCAAAACAAACATTCCAGGGGTGTTAACCCTTCCCTATTCTATCCAAAATGTAAACTTTTTTTGTAGGCTGAAGTTACACTTAAAATGCACCAGTTCCAACTTGCATACAAATTCAATTTAAAAAACAGACCTGGTGCGTAACCCAGGGACTGCCTGTACTTGCATTCCTTCATTTTTTTTGTGCACAAAATAACTACACACGGACGGACTGTTAGGGAGTAAACAACGACAAATATTGTGCCGTTGCTGCACCTGTGCTTCACCGAGCTCTACAAGTCCCTTTGCCCAGTGGCAGATACCACTAATAGTCTTCCATTCACAGATCCCCATAATAAGGAGGTGCTGAGGAAAGTTACCATGTTTAGTGTTCTACCCAAAATGTGGGTGAAACATTAAAACATAGCATGAAAGGAATACAAAATAAATAGACACACATTAAAAGTGTAACTAAAAAGGTAAAACTTTTTTTTTAGTTTTTGGATAGAGTGCAGAGGGATTAGAACGTTTGTCAGTTTTTTTTTAATGCTGTCTGTGCGTCCATTAGAGAAATTCACCCTCTTTAAAAAAGAAAAAAAACACCTCTAAGTGCAGTATGTAACAACATTTATTGGGAAGCAATGTAAAAGTACTCACATTGTGTAAAAAAATAAGAAGGCTCAGGTAAGTAGAGTAATAGAGTCCTCGCTGAAATGGCCACGTCAAGGAAGACTATGGATGCGACAAGAAAGTCGGCCGGCTTGTGAAGTCGTAGGGAAGAACAGAATGCAAGGTGACGCGTTTCGGAGCATGCACTAAACCACTAGAGGGTGGAAAGCACGCTCCTTTCACATGCCAGCCGGTTTCCTTGTGACATCCACAGTATCCCTAAGCGAGGACTCGGCTATTACTCCACTTACCTGAACTTTTTTTTTTTTTTTTTTTTTTTAAACACACAATGTGAGTGCTTTTACATTGCTTCCCAATAAATGTTGTTACATACTGCACTTAGAAGCGCTTTTTTCTTTATCTTCACACAGAGCCTGCTACAGCTACAAGAGCTTGCCCTAGTGCTATATGGACTCATTTGCACTATATTGGATTTTTGACACTGGACTTTATGAACATTTATCTTGTGCCCCTTGCTAACAGGATTTGCATTAGTCCTTTTTATCATTATCATTGAAAAGATAAAAGAAAATCCTAAGATTTTGAGTTGTACTGAAAAAAGTAATAGAGTGGAAATCTTCCAATGGGGACCCTAGTTCTGGTGACCTGGGGATCCCTAAGAAAGTCCCTTAATTTGCAGGGATTTCCTCTCACTTCCTGTTTGGCTATGGGACAGGAATCTAAAAGGAAATCTCCGCAACGGGACACAGGTGGAAAGAAAATCCGATGGGGTTATAACCCTTCCTTGCTTTATCCAAAATGGGGAAGAAAAAAAAAAAAAAAAAAAAAAAAAAAAAGCCTATAGTTCTACTTTAAGATGTAAAACTTAAAAACACGAATTACATTTTTGTTCACATGACAATATGGCACAAATAGGGGGTACTTGCCAACTTACTGTTGTAAATGGGTATAAAGATTAAGCAACCCTAGACTCTATGAATAGAGGAATACACCAATTCTACATAAACTGTAAAAAAAATATAGGGTGCACAGAAAAATTATGTTACAAACTTTTTCTTTCAGCATTTGGTTTCAAGAAAAATGAATATTGTATTTTTTTGGTGAAAATCAGGAACTGTGTAAACAGTTTAACTATACCCATATTGACCTCACCCTAATTGAGCTGTTACTGGTATGTGTCATCACAGTAGTAGAACAACGTTTCAAAGAATGACCAAGAGAGAAAACATAAAAACACTGCAGTAATGCCTACAATCAACTTATGCCAACTTATTTGCAGCACAGGAAAGAAGCAGCACACACCCAGCCACATCAAAAGACGTGTCCTCTGACTACCGAAGTCCTGGGCAGTATTAAAGGCCCCCCAAAGTCTTTCCATCAGGATGTGATGGGAAATCTGTCCAACTGAGTAGAAAAACCCACAGAAAACAAAAACACATTCTGAATAAATGTAAGAAGGGCCCTGCATGCACAGCCCAATCCCCTTCTTGTTCTTCTGGCTTACCTGTGACTGCTGCAGAGAAAATCAGGATGAGGGTAGTGGGAGATTTGTGATAAGGAAAAGGACTCTGGAGAAGCTTTAGTGTTTAGGATTACAGCTCACAGTACTCTCCCCTACCAATGAATATCTGCTTTTCTCACCAACACACCGCGAGTGCATTTTCATTGCTTTTTCATTCATTTCAATTGGGAGGTGCAGATCTGGTGAGGTTTTTTTTTTTTTTTTTTAACCCCACTTTGAAAAAACGCAACCGATCCACTACTGACCAATGCAGAGTTCCATAGGATTTAAAAAAAAAAAAAAAAAAAAAACCCATAACTAATCAGTGTGAAAACACCCTAAAGCTGGCAATACATGAATCAAAATTTAGCCAGTTCAGCAGGAACCAGCTGAATTTCCATCCATGTATAGTATGGCTGTTCCCATTTGAGAGGAGTTGATCTACTGGTCAACTCCCACCAAATGGGACAGTCAGTATATTTTCACTTGATCAGTGCTTGTAGCGATTTGGCTGCAGCGCTGATCGGTGTATCCTGGCAGCACAGGAGTCCGCTGTCAGAATACAATACAATAGCACAGAGTGGGATTCCCCCATCCACCTTGAAAACCAACACACAACTATGGCCAGCTTACGGGTCTACTTAAAGTGGTTGGAAAGGCTGAAGGTTTTTTAACTTCATGCATTGTACGCATGAAGGTAAAAATCCTTCTCTGTATAGCTCCAACCTCAGCCCCCAAATACGTACTCAAGTCCCATCTCGATCCAGCACGGTGGACAGTAGCAGCAGCTCTCCCTCCACATTGGCTAAGATACAGCAACGGGAGCCATGGTTCCTGTTGCATTCAATCATAGCTAGAGATGAGGGAGCAGGGAGCGGGGCTGAGCCGAGCTCTGTGTGTCTATAAGATGCAGTTCAGGAGCGAGCATACATGGAGGGACCCCAGGGAAAGCATCTTACAATGGGATGTTTCAGCAGGGGGCAGCCATTGCACAGAGCAGGTAAGTATAACATGTTTGTTATTAAAAAAATAAAGTAGTCCATACTTCTTTTAAATTACATTTAAATGAAATTGGAAAAAAGTATTTAAAAGTGACATTAAACCTTCATTTTTTTTTCCCCCTAAAACAACAAATATGGTATATACTTACCATCTCTGTGCAATGGTATTGTACAGAGCAGCCCGGATTCTCTTCTAGGGTCCCCTGCTGACGCTACAGGCTCCTCCTCTTCAGCCGCTTTCCTTGGGGGGCACCCATGTGGGCTCGCTCCCAAGATGCCCTGCCTGCACCCATCGACACAAAACAGGCGGTTCGGCCCTGCCCCACGCTGGCTCAGCACAGCATTTGACAACAGCAGGAGCCAATGGCTTCTGCTGCTATCAATCTGCCCAGGGAGGAGGGAACAGCGTTGAGAGCTGCTGTTCTCGTGCACATAGCTGGATCAGACTGGGCTCAGGTAAATATAAGGGGGGCATGCTGCAGCCCAAAAAGTTTTTCACCTTAAGGATTTAGAACCACTTTAAGCAAGCCCCATTACTTCATGTTGGTGGCGACAATTTTAAAATCAATTTTACAAATCAGGGTACAATTTTTATGTGGCCAGGCTGAAGCTCCTGTCTGGCTATTTTACAGACTTGTAAGTAATAGAGAATACCAACCTCGTTAAAGACTGGATACATAACCGCGTATAGAGGCATGGAAACCATGGAAGTGGTCTCTGATTCATTCTTCATCTCTTCCATTGTCATCCTCATTCAAAGAGACCAGGCTGTTAGAATATGATGCTATGGAAGCAAGTAACTCCTCATTCAGTGTGCTCGATCTGGTCGTTCTTCTAATGTAAGAAATGGTTCAATGTTACCCTATGAGAGAAGAAACAAATCCCTGTCAAGTACTTCTGAATTTTAAGAAAAACTATGTTTTAAAACATCTAGATTTTTTTTTTTTTTATCAAAGCTCCCGGCAGCTGTTCAGATGGACAATGACCATAAGTAAAACGATTTGGAAAAAAAAAAAAAAAAAAAACACAGGGAACACACATGAACAAACTTTAGTAGTTTACTCCCCACTGTTTAGAAATTGTTTTTATATTCTATATAAATAAAAAGGGTTCCTTACACATTCCCCACCTGCTATAGAGGTCTTAAATACCTTGGGGTGAAGAAAGCCTCTGAAGTCCACACACCAACAACCAAGGAAGTCCGCTTGCAAGTTTTCCACATCTGGATCGGCGCAAAGGATAGGGCTGGGACTAGAAGTTCTGGGCAATCCAGAAACCGAATTGGCTTCTTTTTCAGCTGCCAGACTTCTAGTTCCTCCCCGAGGTTGATTTAAATCAGTGCCTTGATGTTGGCCGACTAAACCCTGGTTGGATAACCTTACAAGCACTCTCTCTTTTGTACTGAGTATTAAGGACTCCTACCAAACATGACAGGCTGGCATTCATCATAAGGACCTTCTAGACCAGTGGTCTCCAAAACTGTGGCCCTTTACTTGCTTATATCTGTCCCTTAGAGCATTATTTTATCCACTGATACCAACAATGAAGCATAAATCCCGCTATTAACACCACTGAAGTGATACATTTCCTCTCAATGACACCAATGATGGGGCACAATTCCTCCCTATGACATCAACAATGCGGCACAGTTCTACCAGTGACACCAAAAATGGGGCCCAATGACAGCAACTATGGGGCACAATTCCTCTCAGTGACACCAATGATATCCGCAAGAAGAATTGTGCCCTATCAACAATGGAGTACTGTTCCTCCCACTGACAACAATGGGGAACTAATCCTTTCATTGACACCAAAGATGGAGCATTGTTTATGCCCACTGATACCAGGACATTTCTTATTTTCAATGTCCACAGTCCAGCCCCCCTGAAGTCCAGTAAACTAGCCCTTTGTATAGAAAGTTTGGAGACCCATGTTCTAAACCAAAAAGGTAGGAAGCACTTTCCCAACACCAGTGACAAAGCCAGGAATATACAACGGTCCAGAGACGGAACCTAATTGCCTCACGCTGCCAGAATGTTGACTTGCAATGATCTAGAGTTAGATTAGGCATATGAAACAGCTTTGAAAGAGACCACCATTAAATTGGCTCTATAGTGTCAAGGTTTTTTTTTACCTTCATGCACTCTTATCGGGAGAGGGAAGGGACGGGGCCGAGCCACGGCTCTGTGTGTGAACAGAAACGCAGGGCCATGGCTCGGGAGCGTGCCTGCTCAGGTGCCCCCATAGCAACCTGTTTGCTATGGGGGCACTCAACAGGAGGAAGGGGCCAGCAGAGCTGGTGGGGAACCCAAGAGAAGGAGGATCAGGGCCACTCTGTGCAAAATCACTGCACAGAGAAGGTAAGTATAGACATGTTTGTTATTTTTAAGGAAAAAAAAAAAAGACAAGACTTTAGTATCACTTTAAGCTCAGAACCCTCATAAAAAAGTTGGTTGGCTCCTGGACTGAAGAGTCAGGACACAGAAGAAGAGAGTTTGGAGTTTATCCTGTGAAAGAAAAACCTTGGGCAGTGCTGTATTACGAACCAGGCCTAGGTATTCACAATCAATGAGATGGTTCCAGCACTGAATTCAAGAGATTTAAGATTTACCTGAACCTATGCAGGGTCTGGACAGTCCATTAGATACTGGCTAAGAGGTTGTCTAGATGTCCCATTATAGGGATGCCCAGAGTGAAACGGAGCAAGAAACAGGGTCTAGTTCCTTTGTGAAGACCGGATGTGCAGTGGTCAGACCAACGGGAAGGGCAACAACTGGTAATGTTTTGAGCCCACTGCAAAACACAAATAGGGTTGATGCTCCAGGAGAACACAGGAACATGCAAGTAGACATTCTTGATGTCCACAGAGGCGAGAAAGTCTCCAGGATGAGGGGGGAGCATTCAATGACCTAGCAGATTCCAGGCAGAGTTTTTGTATCTGGAGGAAGGTATTGAGAACCTTTAGATCCAGTATGGGGCTGATGCTTCTTTTGGCATCAGATGAACAGGTTTGAATAGACCCCTGGAACCTTTTTTTTTTTCCCCCAGAACAGCTGCAACCCCTTGAAAAAAAGCACTGCCACAGCAAAGTGAAGGTCCCTCAATCTTTGCGATTGTCATTTGAAAGTTTGACAACATGAAGTGGGGTGAAGACAAAGACCAAACATTCTAGCCTGCAGACTCTGGATACAATGTTCTGCATTGGACATCTGATATGCCATGGGCCCAATGGCCACAATGGTCCACAGACAACCCCCCATGTTGAAAAGTGGGGCACTCCCACACTGAGGACTTGTTTGTGAACATGAGGTTATTTAGGGATCCAGGACTTGGGGCAGAATCGCATTCCAGGCTTTACCTTGGAGACCTAGGAGAAATTAAGAATTTTTGTAAAGAGTTGACCAGATTGAGGATTTTCCTTTTTGCTGGGGCAAAAGGTTACTCTTCCTTCAGAGACATCATTGATAAAGTTGTCTAGGATTGCTAAAAAGACATTCCCCATTAAGGAGCATATGCAAGAGCCATTTCCTGCATGGATGCGCCATAGACCAAAACACTTAAGCCAAAGGGTCCATGTCATGTGTACTGAAAGGGGCCATTCTGAAAATTTGACAAAATATCCACTAGCCTGTCAGCACAATAAGGTATGGCCTCCAATTGCTGAAGGACAGAAAGAATCAACTAGGATAGATTTAGGATCCCATGACATGTACCTGGACCAGACACCCAAGGTCCAGAAGATGGACAGAAACAAAATTGGCAGGTTGCAGGTCAAGGGAGAGTAAGCCCTTGAAGAGGGCTTCCAGGCTTTTATCCACAAAGTAAACACTTGAAATGGCTGGGACCACTAAAAGCAACAGCTAAGAACCCATCCGTAATAGGATATTGTAGAGCAAAGTTTTTGGGAGAGGTAAAGAATACCTGGATTAGGCCAATCACTATACAAAACAGGTTAAATATAACTGTAGATAGCTCCAAGTCTAGGTATGTGCAGACTACATCAATAGGGACCAAGAGGTTATCTTAGTTTTGGAGTTAGGTCTGCAGAGTGTGACTCCTTCTCTACCAACCCTCAAAACATGTATAGGGTACAATCCCCTTCATCCTCAGTGGACTGCACAGAAGTAGCTGCAGCCCCAGGGAAAACAGTCATGGACTCTGGATGAGAGAATGTGGAAGCATGCCTGTAGTTCCTGGATTCTGGGTCGCCAATATAGAGAAATTCTCCCCATAAACTCAGACATCATAGCAGCGAAATCCTTCTTAGACAAGACAGAGATGGAGCCACTCCTAAAAGGACTTAAAGTGGTTCTAAAGGCTGAAGGTTTTTTTTTTAACCTTAATGCATGAGGCAAAAAAAAAAAAAAAAAAAAAAAAAAAAAAACTGCTGTATGCAGCTTCTCCCCTAAATACTTAGCCAAGCCTGATCTCAATCCAGCGATGTGCACGGAGCAGGGGCTCTCTCTCTCCTTATTGGACAGGGAGGCGGGAGCCACTAGAGTGGGGACCAGTGGAGAGAGACACGGATATGCTGAGGATAAGAGGGAGTATCCCAAGAACATGCCACATCCAGGTGGCCTTTTCCCTCCCGAAGGGCACATTCTATAAGGAGATGTTAGGGAATGGTGAATGCAACTAAACTTATGGAAAAATAAACAAAAAACCTTCTGAAAGCAAATCATATTCTCATCATTTTCCATACTGCTTTGGAACAAATACAAATAAAATGCCCTGCAGGTCAGCTCCAGCTGCTTGATTAACAGCAGCTCTCCAGGAAGCCTCACTGTCAGTCTATAGTTCTATAGCAATGTACTTGTTAATGTGGGCTGAAAGCAATGTCACAAACATGCATGTTATGCTGCAGCTTGGTACATCCCATCGCCCTGAACACTGTTGACTATCAGACCTGAATAGCAGCCATCTATATAAATCGCTCATATATTCAACTGAAAAAAGAAATGGAAGACACTGCAATATTAATATCGCAATGCATCGCATTTCATTTTCCTGCACGGAGTAGTTAGGTAGGCATGGGTAATAGCTTCCTGGGTACTTTCAAACTTGTTAAATAAGTCCATGTCACACTACAAGATAATATAGCAGAATTCAAGTAACATTTTCAAACAGCTATTGTAAGATAAACTGCAGAACAGCAGCAATAGTAATTGGTGCACAATTTGGCACCTGACAGAGGCTCAGGCTAGTCACAGCAAGTAGTAAAGATACAGCCAACTCCACACCAACCTATAAATTACATATGTAACTCATGCTCATAAAAATGTATACTCCTTATTAAAAGCCACATCAAAGTTTCACGCATCTGCAAAACAAAAAAAATAATATATATATATATATATATATATCACATCTATATAACGTAGAGAAGGCCCCATCGGAAGTTTACTTGACAGCTAACTCAGAAGAAATCACCACAAAATCCCATCATTCATCCATTAATCATAAAGTGTTAAAAGTGGTGGTGGGGGGGGGGGGGGATTGTGACTGAACCATCATATACATTACTCCATATTAAGGGTGGCCATGGTTAGCTAATCACAAAACAGTACTGATAAGACCTCTTTTAGGTGTTTGCATAGCTAACTTCCTGCATAAACATGAATGCTAGGCTTAGAGTATGCAAATATCTACAGGGCTGGCTTGATTATGATCAGACCATCTTCTAACATGCCTATTTCCTTATCCCCACCTTGCCCAAAGAACAGCCAGCTGATTGCATTTATAGAGGACTTAAAA